GGCTGCCTCGTCTCCCTGCTGACACTTGGGGTTGTCGGTCTTTTAACTTAGCCATTCTAGTAGTTGAGAAAAGGGGTCTCTTAGAGTGGTTTAATTTATATTTACGTGATGACCAATGATGCTGGGTCCCTTTCATGGGCTTACTGGCTGTTTATATTTCTTTCTTTGTGAAGTGTTCACATGCTGTGATGTGTTCAAATCTTCGCTGAGTTCTTTTATTGAGTTGTTCTTTTGACATTGATTTGTAAGAATTTTGTTTGTTTGTTTCTTTGGATGCAAATTTTCAAGGCATTCTTATCTAACTTGGGTTTTATAATATTTTATCCCAGTCTGTGGCTGGTCTATTTTCTTGACAGTGTCTTTTGATGAACAGCAGTTCTACATTTTGATAAAGTATAATTTATCATTTCTTTCTTTACCCTGCCTAAGAAATCTTTTGCATAAGATTTTCTGTGAAGATACTCTATTTATATTCAAGAAGCATTATAATTTTAGCCTTCACATTTAGTTCTATGATAATCCTTAATTTAATTCTTTATAAGATGTGAGGTAACAATTCCTTTCATCTTTTTCCCCATATGGATATCAGCTTTCCCAGCATCATTTGTTGAGAAGACTTAAATTGACTGTATAAATGTGGGCATATTCCTGGACCCTGTATTTCTGTTCCAGTGATTTAATCTAATGCCACTACATCATATAGCCATATTAATCAATCTAATGTATTAATTAAGATAAGTGTGGCTATGTCATGAGTCTTGAAATTGGATAGTGTTAATGCCTTGAACTTTGTTCTTTCTTAAGATGTTTTGGGTATTCTAGGTTTTTTTGCATTTCCATATGTATTTTAGAATCAGCTTGTCTGTTTCTTTAAAAAGGCCTGTTGGAGTTATGATTATAACTGCACTGAATCTACAAATTAGTTTGGGGAGAAGTAACATCTAAGTAATATTAAATCTTCCAATCCATGACCTGAGTGTATATTTCCATCTATTTAGATCTTCTTTAATTTCTCTCAGTAACATTTTATAGTTTTTAAGCATACTGGTCTTGTATGTCACTTATGTATTCCTATGTATTGATAGTTCTTTGTTATTACAAATTGACTTGTTTTTAAAATTCCGTTTTAAAATTGTGTGCTATGACTTTATAGGAATTTCACTGATTCTTATCTAATGATCTTATGTCCTGTGGCCTTGCTAAATTTACTTACATGTAGATAGGAGTTACTTATAGATAGGATTTGCCAGGTAGCTAACCAGACTGAATAGAATCCGTTTTAATTCTTCCTTTTCAATTTAAATAACCTTTATTTCCTTTTCTTACTTTATTGCATTGGCTAAGACCTCCAGTACAATGTTGAAGAGGGGTGAGATTACATATTCCAGCTTTTTCTAATCTGACCTGCGTTGTATTTTGCTTATCTCACAACTCAGAAAGGCCTTAGTGACCATTCTGTCTGAAATACATCTTCCTCTTTTTATCATTATCTCAGCATCGTATTTCATTCCTTTATATTGCTTATCATAAATTATATTTGTTTATTTCTTTGTTATCTGCCTCTTACACTAATCCATAAGGCCCTTATGGGAAAAACACTGTTTTCACAATTACATCCTCAGTGAATACTACAGTGGCTCATAGTAGGTACTCAGTAAATGTTTTGTAGAATTAGTCAATATTGGGAGGAAGTTTTAGCAGTTATGCAATCTTCTCTCCTTCCTAGTATCTTCATCTCCTTGGAAAAACTGAGGACAAGTATTATTTCTTGCAAGAAAATTTTCATATTTCCCTCTTTTCACCTTTCTAATTGTTAGGAGATTTAGTTTCATAATTTCTCATAGAAATCACTTACATTTAACATTTTCAAAAGCTCTTAACTCACATTTTATTAAAAAAGCAATACAATTCTTTCTACTAATTTTTGAAAAATTATTGTGATGGCAAATTTGGATAGTTTGCCTTTCCTGGGTGTCATATGCACTAAAAAGTTAATCAACATTCAGCACTTTGCAGCGGTTCAAATATAGAAACAAAGTAAACGCGTTTCACAGATATCTACTAAGCAGATGTTAGGTCACTATTTTTTACTCTTTAAAATCTGGAGGAATTGCAATGATGAAGTGAACTTGTTAGGCATGTTTTGCTCTAATCTGAGCCATGCTTCATTTGCTTTTTATATAATTTCAGGCTAATGAAGGTAAGTTGCATTCAGCCTAGGACACAGTAATCTAGGATTAGCCAAAAGCCAAAAATCTTTCCTCCTGCCGCTCTGTTTTAGCAGCTCCGTTTAAATAGCTGGTAGAAAGTAAGGCTTTAGTTTATGTGCACTCAGGAGGAAAATAATATTCTGTTTTTCCTATTGTATGTTAAACTAAGTCCTTGGCTTATTCTACCAACCGACAATGGAAATTTTTTGAAAGAAGTAGGTAAAAACGTTCTAAGTTGGGCGTTCATTCATTCGTCTCCTTCTTTCCCTCATCCCTCCCGTTTCTGCTGTCTTCCTTCCTCCTTTTCCCCAACTTCCCTCCTTCCCCTCCTACCCATTCTCTCTCTTCTACCTTTTTTCCTTTGTTCTCTCTCCTCAGCTGTCTTTGCCACAGTCAATGCTCTTGTGCAAACACAGTAGAGAATAAAACACCTGCACCCTATGCATTGCAGCTTATATTGTAGCGGAAGAGGTAGACAGTAAAGAAGCAAAGATATACATGTGATGATTTTTGGTCATCATAAGTGCTACAAAGTGTTTTGTGTGTGTGTGTGTGTGTGTATGTGTGTGTGTGTGTGTGTGTGTGTGTGTGTGTGTGTGTGTATGACAGATAGAGACAGAGAACAGGATATTGAGAATGAGTGAGAATCATGAAGGCCTCCTCGGGGAAAGGGATATTTGAAGTGAGCTAGTGAGTTGTTCAAGTCTGAAGATCCAGGAAAAGTGTGTGAGGCAGTTGGACTAGCCGGTAAGAATCCCCGAGAAGGGAGTGAGCTTGGTGTCAGAGAAACTACACAACAGTACAGAAGTTTGGCCTAAGCGAAGTCAGCTTGGGTGGAGCACTGTGAGATGGGGCTGGAGAAGGGAGTGGCGACTCCAGAGGGCGGGGGGCCGGCTGTGGTGGAGAGGTTCCGTTTGATTCCAAGTGTAGTCAAAAGACAGTGGTCCATGTGTGCTATTATTTCATTTTGTCATTTAGACATTTTGAAAACATCTCTAATTTGACCAGAATATCTAAGTTCCGATTCTCATATTAGTTTTCTCTTCCAAAGATAGAAAAAGAAATACATGCGGCAAAACCTGACAACGTTGATAAAAGGTGAACAAATCTCAAAAACAAAAACAAAAACAAAAACATTGAAGTTATACCAAGCATGTTCTTTGACCACAGCAGAGCTAAACAGGAATCAATATCTGAAAAATCCCCAAATATCTTGAAATTAAATTACATCCTGCTGAAGGACTCATGGATCAAAGAAGAAATGACCAGGGAAATTAGGAATTCCTTTGAAATGAATGAAAATGAAGAGACAGCCATTATTCTTAAACTCAAAATGCTAACATACAGACAGATAGAGATGTGTATCCTTCCCATTTGTCTGCTACTTGAATTTCCTACTTCCTGCGTCCGTTGGGGTCGTTGCAGTTTCTCCATGGGGTAAGAGTGGCAGTGCTTCTGCCACAGGTGTGCACCGGCCCCTGCTAAAGTCTGGCTGCGCCTATTTAACCACCACTCGTAGTCATTCTACTCTGGTTTGAGTGAACGAACACTTACCGTTTTCAAAGGTCACGTTCCGGGAACTGTGGGGGAATTTATGGAGCAGTCACAGACCAGTTCAAGTTATGAGAGCCTTAAACGCTAATATTAATTAAAATCTCATCACAGCTACTTCCTTTTTGAGTCCCACCTGGGGAATTCTGGTCCACCTCCTCTCTACATGTTCGACCTCGTGAGTCTTCAGTTCCCTTCTGCGACTTCTGTTTTTGCTAACTCTGTGTTGAATTGTTTTGACTTTTTGGAATTTATGATCTTCAAGTGTTTCTATCTTCACTCTGGTATCAGCTTGTTCTGTTCAACTTTGTTTATGTATCTAAGTGTGACCATTAGGCCTCAAGCAAGGCACTAGGTTCTCAAATGGAATGAGAGCCTTATAAATCAGATAATTAATCCGAGTGTGATAAGTATTTTGACAGAATGTTGGAAAGGCTAAGTAAACAAACATTCATTCAATGAACATTTATTGACCACCTACTGTGTACTAGGCATTGTGCAATAGGGTCTGCCTCATCAGAGAAGACTTTGGAGCACAGGTGGCTTTTGAGTCCAATTCTGGTTATTTTAGGAGTGTTCAAGGTACAGAAAGGGGCATGGTATTCTAGGCAAATGGCATTGATTGTTTAAAGGGGAGCCATGTAGTTGTGAAGGAGTGACGAATGACTTGGGAATGGGTAATCTGCTCTGGAACTAGGTATTTGGTAGGGACTTGGAAATAATGAGTGGTAAGAGAAAGGTCTAGAAAGTTTTGGGAAGTTCTGGTGTGTGTGTGTGTGTGTGTGTGTGTGTGTGTGTGTGTGTTTGTGTTTATGGCGTTTGGTCTTATTTTAGTGGGCATAGTGTTTATTAGCATCTTGGTGATTCTCACCAATGCTTTCATACCGTCTGTACCTCCTATTCCTTTGGTTATCATTTTGGTCCCTGCAGTGGTCAGCGGCTCCAAGTGGTGGTGGGGAACTCCAGCCCTGTTGTATCATGCTTTTATAGAAAGAGGGTGGGGGACATGAATAGAGACGGAATCCTGAAGCAAGGGGCCAGGTATGTGGTACTCTTCTGCCTGGCAGTATTTCCTTCCAGGAATTAATTAGTTCACTAGCTTCTTGAAATCTTTAAAAAAGAGAAAAAAAAGTAGGGGAAGAAGAGGTTGAGGTGTAAACACATTGCTTTGAAAACATCCTTGTGGGATAAAATTTCAATGAATTGCCCACCCTGAATTTTTTTATTTTTTTCCTTTAGGTTTCTTGCTATTTAAAGATTTTTGTTTGAATGAAATTAATGAAGCTGTACCTCAGGTGAAGTTTTATGAAGAGGTAAGAAGTTTTACTGATGCTTTTCTTTCAAAAGCATATTTAAACTGTACTTGGAACATACTAAGACTTCTCAATATCTTATAAATAGAAATTCATTGAAAGTAATTAGTAGTGCAAAATACAGCATCAAGTTCAGGATGCTAGCATGTATAAAAAAGCGGAACACGCGGTACGAGTTGCATCCTTAAAGGCTTCAGAGGGCTCTGGAAAGAACGAGGCACGGTTGGACTGAAGTCCCAGAGGTGGGAGGGTCATCCCGAGCTGCACTGAGGAGCGCCCCTTATTTTCTTTCCTGGCTCTGGAGATGTGAGCAGAGGCAGAGAACTGCTACTAGGTTTGAAAGAGCTATTAGCCAAGGACTTCTAGTCCTACTGGACGGACAAATTGGAGATTTGGTGGTGGGGGCGCGGGGCGGTGTGGTGAGGTGCTCAAATGCATGACGGATTTTTCCCATAAGGCATTTGGTGAAGTCTGAGGTTGGAGGGGAGCTGAAGAGAGAGGCCAGAAACTTCTGGAAGGCACCCTGAAATCTCCTGCAGGCTTACACTGCTTAGGAAACACAGATCAGCTGGAGGCTGAAAACGGAGTGGACAAGAGACGAAAACCCTAGAGGAAGTGTGGTGGTGACATTGAGGATCTGCAGCTACTTTTGACTTGGGGTGTCTGTTGATTTCAGGTGTAGCGGGCAGATGAGCATCCAGGCTTGGCTACTTCTGGGAGCCAAAAAAGTGCCGAAGAGGTTTCCGGAGCTAGAGTTTAAAAATAAAGACTAGAGAAGCCCCACATAGGTGATGAGTCGCCCTCTCAAAACACATGCCAGGTTCTCAAGCTTAGTGGGGTGGGAGGCCAAAGAGCAAGCTGAAAACTTGTCCTGGGCAGAACTGAATCCAGTGCTAAGGAAACACAAGTCTCTCACTGAACTCCATGGAGGGCGTGCCTTAGAAACAGGGTCGAGGCAGAAGCAGATGGGGTCCTACAAAAATGACAACCCAACCTAGTGCCGTCCCTTGTTGCATGATGAGCTCCCTCCTTACCCGCTTCCCAAATACAAAGGGAGCCCTTTTCTGTCTTTTTACAGGTAGAAAATAACATTATGTAAGGACCGTATAGTGTTTAGCATACAGTAAAGAATTATGAGACATGCTAAGAAGGAAGATCACGTGAACCATACACAAGGCAATAAAAGCAGACCAACAGGTGAATCAGATATTGGAGTTGGCAGACAGTAACTTTAAAATGACTATGAATCATATGTTCAAGAAAATAGAGGAAAAGATGGACACAATAGATGAAGGGATACTTAATTTCAGGAAAATTTGAATTTATTAATGGAGACTTAAGTAAACACTTTTAGAACAGAAAGGACCACACTTGAAATTAGAGCTAACGGTTAAGTTCAATAGCAGATTGGTTAGCGTTCAAGACAAAATTAATAAATAGAAAGGCAGGTCAGTGGATAATCTCAAACTGACGCACAGAGAAAAGGAACTGAAAAAAGAAACAGAAACACTGAAGACACATGAGACATTTTAAAAAGGTTTGACACGTGAGATTGGAGTTTCAGAAAGAGAAGGGAGAGAATAGGGCAAAAGCAAGATATGAAAAGATAATACATAGAATTTTACAAAATGATGAAAGACGGCAGCTAACAGATTTGAAAGCTTAGGAATCCCTAAGCTGAATGAATACAAATGAAACAGATCTTTGCATGTCAATATAAGACTATGGGAACTATGGCAAAGTTTTTAAACTGTGAAAATATCTTTAAAATAGCCATGGCGAGCCGTGGGGAAGACACATCACTTTTAAAGAAGCAACAATTTGACTGACTGTGACATTATGAAAATGATTTTTTAATAAAAAATGATTTTTTTAAAAAAGACAATGACATGGGCATCTTTAAAGGAAAGAAAGATAATTGCCAGCCTAGAATTCTACTCCCAGCAAAAATTTTCTTTAAACATGGGGGACGCAGAGGTGGAAGAGGGAGAGGACGTGCGGCCTGGGCCTCCGCCTGCCACCCCCTCCTGTCACCTGGAGCTGGCAGCAGCCACTCAGTGAGTTGCTGCCTGAAGACAGATTTGATAATGGGCTGCATTAAAAGTAAAGAAAGCAAAAATCAAGCCATTAAATACAGCCCCGAGAACCACTCCAGAGCCTGTCAGTACAAGTGTGAGCCGTTATGGAGCAGAACCCACGGTGGTGTCACCATGCCCATCATCTTCAGCAAAGGAAAAGCAGTTAATTTCAGCAGTCTTTGCACGACGCCATTTGGAGGATCCTCAGGGGTAACACCTTTTAGAGGTGCGTCTTCCTCATTCTCAGTGGTGCCAAGTTCATATCCTGCTGGTTTAACAGGTGGTGTTACTATATTTGTGGCCCTATAAGATTATGACGCTAGAACTACAGAAGACCTTTCATTTAAGCAGGGTGAAACATTTCAAATAATTAACAATACAGAAGGAGACTGGTGGGAAGCAAGATCAATCGCTAGAGGAAAGAATGGTTATATCCCGAGCAATTATGTAGCACCTGCAGATTCCATTCAGGCGGAAGAACGGTATTTTGGCAAAATGGGGGGAAAAGAAGCTGAAAGATTGCTTCTGAATCCTGGAAATCAATGAGATATTTTCTTAGTAATAGATAGTGAAATGGGTGGGCACGGTGGCTCATGCCTGTAATCCCAGCACTTTGGGAGGCCGAGGCGGGCAGATCACCTGAGGTCAAGAATTCAAGACTAGCCTGGCCAACATGGTGAAACCTCATCTCTACAAAAAAAAAAAAAAAAAAAAAAAAAAAAAATTAGCTGGGCGTGGTGACACTCGCCTGTAATCCCAGCTGCTTGGGAGGCTGAGGCCGTGGAATTGCTTGAACCTGGGAGACGGAGGTTGCAGTGAGCCGAGATGGAGTCACTGCACCCTACCTTGGTTGACAAGAGGAAAAGCTCCGTCTTCAAACAAACAAACAAAAACTATCGTTATTTACCTGGTTTAATCATTAAATTTGAAATTCTGTGCCGTGGTCTATACGTTCAAATTCAAACCATTTTCAAACGTGGGCAAATGGACTTCATGCAAGTTGGCAATGGTTCTAGTACTAAAAATTGTTGTTTTTTTCTGTTTACATAACATGCTTAGTATTGCCTCTCTCTACCAAGAGGGTATTCCTAAGAAGAGTGATGTCATTATTTCCTCTTGTCAACAACTTGTGACATGAGATTTTTAAAGGGCTTTATGTGAACCGTGATACTGTAATTTTTCTAAGCACATTCAAAAAGGTAACAAAATTATGTTTATCTACTAAATCTGATCAGGAAAGTAAGCCAGGAAAAAATGGATGGTATTCATTAGGTTTTAACTGAATGGAACAGTTCCTTTTGTAATAACAATTGTATAGTAGAGATAAAACACTAACTTAATGTGTATTCATTTTAAATTGTTCTGTATTTTTAAATTGCCGAGAAAAACAAACAACTTTGTACACGTGAAGATTTCTTCCAAAAGCTTTTCGTCTTCAGTGTCTGAATGTGGAAGTTAACCTGTACCGAGAAAGGAAGTTGGCCAAACAGCCTTCTAGCACACTTTTAAATATGAATAATGGTAGCCTAAACTGAGTATTTTTATAAAGTATTATAATATTGTTTTGTGGATCATTGAAATAAAGAAATTCTCATGAAAAAAATGAAATCATAGAAGGATATAGTTAGACAAACAAAAACTGAGGCATTTGTCAATAGTGGACCGGCATGACAAGAAATACTAAAGGGAGATACTTTAGTCAGAAGGAAAATGATCCACCTGGAGACGCAGGAAGAAATGGAGAGCATGAATGGTAAATATGTATGTGAAATATAAATGAATGTTGACTGGATAAAGCAGTCATGTCATGTCTCTTGAGCTTAAAAGATATGCAGACCTAAAATGCATGACATAGCACAAAAGGCAGGGAAGGTTAATGAAATTGAAATATTTTAAGGTTCTAGGATTATTGGGGGTTAGCATAAGTAATTTAGTATAAGTAATAAATCACATTGGATTGTAATCAGTCAGGGATGTTTATTTTAATTTCTAAGGTAACTTCTATAAGAATAGTGTGTACAGTCATGGGCTGGATGATGTTATCAGGCCAAGAACAGACCGCGTATATGTGAGTGATCCCAGAAGATTAGAATACTGCATTTTTACTGTACCTTTTCTATGTTTGGACACACTTACTGTTGTGTTACAGTTGCCTACAGGATTCAATACAGTGCTGTACAGTTCGAATCCTGGGAGCCATAGGCTGCATCGTATGGCCCAGGCGTATAATGGGTATACCATGTGGGTTCTTGTAAGCATGCACTACGATGTTCACACAATTATGAAATTGCCTATTGACGCGTTTCTTAGAACGTATCCTTGTCATTAAGCTACACGTGACTGTTTAACAACTTAAAAGAGGGAAAAAGTAAATAAAACCACATTTACTAATCAACAGAAAGGCAAAAAAAAAAAAAAAAAAAAGGAATATAAGTAAGACATAAAATAGGTGGGTCAAATTTCAACCAAAGAGTAAGTAGCTACAAATATCTTTAAGTAATTACGTTTCATATAAAGGATTAAATACTCCAAGTGAAAGATTAAGTTTTCCAGACTGAATAAAGAACTAATCCTCACCCCGTCCCCCAGCATGTACTCGTTACAAGAGACATAGTTGAAACAGATGGATGGAAGAGGTGATACAGCACAAACACTAACCATAGCAAAGCTGGCATAACTGCACTCACATTGGGCAAACTATGCAGTAATGCTGCTTTGAAATGAAGATCTATTTCTTAATGATAATGGTGTCAGTCAAACAAAAAGATATCACAAACTTAAATCTTTATATACTTTAAAGTATATAAAGCAAAAATTGGCAGATATAAAATGACAAATCTATCATCCTACTGGGAAATAGTAACGCATACCCTTCCAGAGCTTATAGAACGGGCAGGCAAAAATTTAGTAAGGATATAGAAT